ACATATGCATTAAATGCCTGCGGAGTGAAAACTTCTTGAGAGTGATCATGTAGCAAAGGTGTTTTTGACATCCTTCAGTTTTTCATTAGCTGATGCACTTTGCATCCAAGTGTTAGAACTGCTACTCTAACGCATACTTATCAAATGTTATTTAATTTCTAGTAAACTAATGATTGTTTTTTCCAATGATGATTTTTCCAGTAGCGTAGGATTGGTATTTGACAGTGCTAGACCTGGTGGTTTTGAGTGCTTGTCCTATCTGATAAGAGCAAAGAGAGCTCAAGAGTTTGATGTGGCTTATGTGGCTCCATGCTGTAGGAAAGCGGGGTGCTTTCTGAGAATAACAGCTGTCCCGGTGCTTTTACTGAACAGCCTGCTTGTTCAAACTGATCACTTTCTCTATGGGTCTGGAAGGTTTCAGTTGGATACAGTGCAAACCAAAGACCAAGATGAAGCTGTCCTTTCAGGCACTGCAACCTCTACCTGTGCAAACTAATTGAAATGTTAGAACCTGGCAGGCAGGACTGGCTCTTGCTTGTGTATCCCACTTACCAGCAATATGAGTCCTGTTGCTAAAGTAACTCATGCATAAATTCATGGGCTGTGCTTTGCAGAAGGTATGCTTGGTTTGAGAGAGGCCATCCTTCCAGTCCTGGACTTAGGACTGGCCAGGAAAAGTCTGATTTTAGGTGTGGATTGAGGAGTGAGGTATGGGTCAGGGGCTGTTCAGACAATGAAACTGCTTGTTCAGATAAGCAGTAAAACACTTTTCTCTAACTTATGCTTGCTTTGTGCCGCATTAAATGACCTTTGTATATCCATTCTGTGCTATTAGGCTGGCTGTGTCCTGTTGCAGGTTGTATTATGTGCCAAATGTTCCTCTTTCCTCTTTCTGGTTGTTCAGAGGCTAGTTCCTATTGGAGCAAGTGCTTCAAGCTGCTACCAAGCATGTTATTCCTTATGGTGTGTTCGAACAAGTAACAAAAGGTTCAAAGTCCGTTTGCAGTATGTGAAGAGCTGATCTCTGTTCCAATAGGAGGCATCAGTTATAACAGATAAGGTAGCTTTGGCTTTAGCCCAAGACTTGTTTTATCACCATAACATTAAAAGGAGGGCCGTGGAGTTTGGCAACACTAGTTTTTTTTTTAATGCACTAACAACTACAGCGGCTCCTTTATCTGCTATTTGGAATGTACTAGCGTGTGAACATTTACATGAGCACGTACGAGCATACCACCTCGCTCTGTCTTGAGATGGGGAATTGAGTTGCCGTGGAGCGAATGGCTGTAGCTGAAGGATTGGCAGATTGTCTCCACTGTTAAAGTTGGCCTCTGAGGTGCTGCCCTGAAACTTCAGTGCTGAGGACGAGGAGACTGGCCACAAGCACACTCTCATGACCTTTCTCCTAGTTGCCCAACATCCTTCATGATACAAATTATTTTGCTGTTTGGTAAGAATTAATGTAACATAGGTTGGTGTTGTCTACTATGGATTTTATTTAAATTTGAGACCTTTGTGGCATCTCCTGAGAGGAAATGACCTTCTGTAGGGGCTCGTCCTTGGTGTGAGACTCCTCTTTCATGAGGAGACAGTGCTTGGAGGTGTGTTTGACCAAACAGCATGATACGTTGGCAAAGGGAGGTACCCAAGGCATCAGTGTAGTTGTGTTATCATGGCAGCCTGCCCAGATTAATTAGTGTCTCTAAGATTAATTAGCATGGTGCTTTGTGCCATGCAGACAGAGCCTTTGTTATTTTCTTTAGCAATTACAAGGTCTTATGCCAGTGAAGTATACCAAAATTGAATATTGCTTTTGGATATGTGGTGGCTTTCTGTCCATAAGTACCACATATATTCAATAGGAGACAGAGTCTTTACCTTGGAAAATGCTACCTTCAAATATGAACTGATTATATCAACTGACTTCAAAATGCTTATTCCCCAGCAAGAGTATGATTTCCCATTTGGTGCTACGCAGTGCATCTTTAACTGACTTCAAAGCGTCTGACACAGTATCTAAGGCATATCTCAATATGTTATCCAGGTGCGTCTCTGCAGTTGAGGAGGTTGGTGTTATTTTAGACCAGCATAAATTCCTTTTCAGGTAGGAGAATCTGAATGTGGACCCCTGGAAGGAGCATGTGGGAAGAGGTGTTGAACAATATTAAAATGGAAAAGAAGACTGAGCATGTGTGTTACTGATCTGTGGAGAACTTCACAAGCTGGAATATGCCTGTGAAATACGTAGATTTTCCATGAAAAGTTGTCTATGCAAGTTTGCAGAATCTCTTACATAGCCCGATTTGTTTAAATGCGAAGTATTCTCAAGGGTAGAGCTTCCTGTAAAGATGACAGCTTTATCAGCAGATTTGCTCCTCTTGGTATATGTAATATCTCTGCTTAGTTGTTTTTCTGTGTCAGGTCTCATTTCTGCTTTTCTTTGCCTTTACTTAGCACACAGTTCTGCTAATCAGTAAGTCAGTTTTCTTCCTGGGGTTGCATTTAAATTGCCATTTGCAACGCAGTTCAGAAGAACAATTACTTTTTGATACAAGAGACATAAATCCATTCTATACAGATTTAAATCGTGCTTGCAGTGTTGCATATATATTTTTAAATCTCCATTGTGTCAGAATGTTTTCTAATGTTTGATGTTTTGATTAACACCTGTTAGGTGTGGTTTATTCTGTCCTTAAGGGAAAATGGGTGTGCAGCACGTTTTTTGTTTTGGTGGGGCTTGGATGTGTAGGAGTCAAATGATTGCATTTGTTGTGATTATTTGGGCTAAAAGGCAAAACTGAAGCTTTTTTTTCCCATCTGGCATGGAAAATGACAAGGTATGTGATAAATCTCATCTCCCAAAGGATTTCTGATTATCTTTTCCAGTCTGCTTTTTGGGGAAGCATGATTCTTAAAGTTGTCACTTGTTCATCTTGAAGCTGGAGCTATGGAGTCCTGGCTTTTATGGTCATTTAGTTTTGCTGTCAAACTGATCTGCCCCAGACGCTGACATAAAGACTTGCTTCAGCTGAATTACACAGACTACCTGGTACAGATTGACCTGATATGGATATGATGGCTGTGGGAGGACAGCCAAAGAGAAAATATTTTGAGGCAAAATTGACTCATGAGTAATATCTGAACAATCTTGACATCATGTTGTGGGCACATAACACTCTGGGTATGGTAACAGATGTTTGAAAGACAGTCCTATTGCACCCTTTAAACATCAGCCTGCATGTGTAACTGTGACTGAATCCTCTTGAAGATGAAGGTGGAAATCTTGAAGTACCAAACTGACGTTCTTACAGGAGTGTGTTTATAATATTGTTTTCTACAAAACATGACTAGGAGGTTATACAGAAACACACTGATTGGTGCTTCCAGTTACATATGAGTATGTAGTTCCAAGGATGTAACTGTGTTCTGTGGTCAAGTTTCCTTGTGCATTACACTTCTTTAATATTAGGTGGATGAATATATTTTTAAATAGTCTTGGAATGCACTCCTATTGAAATGTAACAACTATTTTTAGAGTGAGTAGGCAGCATGCATATAAGCATTCATATTTTGCATGAATGGTTGAATGTGTATTTGAACATACTGCAGAATTGTTAAACGGAGGGAAGAAGAAATGGACTCTCACTTCCTGAGGGTTACTTAAGAACACTGAACACCATTTTAAAGTCTACGTAAGGGAACATCTGGGACTTTTGGATTCCTGTCTTTTTTTTCTTCAGCAGATGTTGCATTTAGGGATTGCTTCCCATGTGGAAGGTCTTCACCTTGAGTTTTCCTGCAGACTTACTGCACACTCCCATCTTCTCAGACAGACCTAAATGAAGCTACATCATTTAAAACTATAGAATCATAGATTTGATTGGGTTGGAAGGGACCTTAAAGACCCATCTAGTTCCAACCCTGTAGACACCTACCTTCAATAGAGCAGGTAGGTCAAAGCTCCATCCAGCCTGGCCTTAAGCACTTCTGGGTTGGGGCACCCCCAGCCTCTCATGCAGAACAGTGTCAAAGGCTTTGCGCAAGTCCAGGTAGATAATTCCAGTTGCTCTTCCTCTATCCACTCTCCACCAGTGCTGCTCCTGTTGCAGGAGGCCATGAAACTGAAGGTATTGTTTGTCCACAGTGAAGTCATGTTGGCAGTCACAGATTGCTGCTTTGTTCTGTGCAGATCCAGGATAATCTGCTCCATTACCTTTTTCTTCCTTATTAAAAATGGGTTATAACTTTCCTTTTGCAGTCATCAGACCACCACAGCTTTTCAAATATGAGGGATGGTGGCATAACAAGTTAATCCAACAATTTCCTCAGAACCCTCAGATGCATCTCATCAGATACTACGGACCTGTACGCACTGTTCTTTTCTTGCAATGGCAAGTTCTTCATTCTCGCAGTCACTAGAGTTCAGATCCAGTTGCACCTTCCTTATTCTCTCCCTGCATTCTCAGACCACATCCTTATAATCTTCACAAGTTATGTATTCCTGCCAGCATTACCTATGCAATTTAGTTTTGTTTCAGTTGGAGTTTGACTTAACCCCAGTTAATTCAAGGCATTGACTTAACCCAGTTGATTTTCTGCCACCCCTGTGCAACTTCTTGCATGATAGGATTGAGTCTTGCAAGTTGGGATTGTCAGCTTTTGTGTCTGAAGAAAAATAAGTGGCATTTCAGCTTGTGAAGACAGTTTCCCTTAGTAGGCTGTTCTGTAAACAGTGTGGGATTAGAACAGCCCATATGTGGATGCACTGATATGTTTTGAGGACTTGTTTTGAGTGCCGGTGTATTATAGTAAAAATAATTATTTTGTATTCCATAAAACTACAGAAATGTAAACTTAACAGGTTGGGTCAAAAACTTATGTTCTCATACCAAAGCTTTAGTGAAACATGCAGTTAAAATGTGGATGATAAATGTCTTCTGCATGGAGGTGGGGGGAAGGGAAATCTTCAGAACTCCTGAAGCCATACTCAACAGAGATTGTTCTCCTGTCTCATCGCTAGGTAGCTATCAGATGTCCTCCCAGCATTGTGTAAATGTCAACATTTGCATATGGTGAGTCTCCAGCACTGCCTTGGTGTGCAACTGCCTTGGACTGTACCTGTGAATGATTGCATGGTGGGATGCATCAGTGCCAGAACAGGGGTCTTGGTGTCTCTGTGCACCCATGGTTTTGAGAAGTTTGCTTTTTTGAGTTAAAACAGGCCAAGCAAGTTGCAAGTCAGAAATAAGTTGTCTAAACGTTGTTGGCAGAACATCTTATCTGAACTGCTGTGGAAGAAAAGGAAAGAACTGTCCTACATTCCAGAGAGTGGTGCAGGCATGAAGTTAACTGCAGTCTAAGCGTCTTTATAACCATTGGAAGTATGTGCAAATCCCTGTAAGATAACAATTCTAATAAAGGCTGCTCAGGGAAATGAGACAGCAGACAATCATCTCCTCTTTTACTGCAGTCTATAAAATGCTTCCATGTCTTTCATATGCAGAGACATCCTAAATTAAACTGTTTTACTGCTTAGCTCACATGGCCTTCTACATTTCCCAGTTCAAATCAGAACTCGGTTGCCATTCTGTACGCTGCTGTGTTTCCCTAACTGACATGGCTGGTGTATCCTGTCGTCTCCAAGCTTTGTTTCTGTGCATTCACATGGACTGTTGTTTGAACAAAGAGGATTTAAACTGGGAAAGCAGTACAGAATGATGTCTTTTGCAAGATGTGTGCTTTCTCTTTAGGGTGTGGTAATCAAAATACTGCTTGTGTGCGCTACATCTTGGAAGCCAAAAATGATAGGACAGTCACAAATATGAAAGGTTGATTTTTTTTTTTTTTTATTTTTTATTGTTTAGTAGCATGGCTTTACCAGGCATTTGCAGCTTTAAGCATGTGATATATTGCCCAACATGTATAATGACTACTTGCTTTTCATTTCTCTTCTTGTAGGATGACTTTCGGGTTCCTGAATGTGCTGTCAGATGCTGAATTACTGAACTAGATGAATCTTCTGCATTTATTTCTGATCTTCAGAGAGGCCTAAAAGAAAGCAGAGGACTGGCATTTGTTACAGCATTTTAAGGTAAGATGTGACTTCTTTTGCTGGGGGAAAGAGGGAAGATAAATATGAAGATATGGTCTCATGGACTGTTCCAGTCCATCTCTGACTCCATAGTAAGTCTGTACTGTGTGTAACACCGGACCGGACTGTCAGTATTTGCCTGTAAGGATAAAATATCACCTCAGCAAGCTAAGAAATGATGCAGTGAAGAAATAACTTATCTTTCCCTGGATGACCAGTTCTATTTATACATATACCCTTCCATTAGACTGCCTTAATGCTTTACCTACATATTAATAAAGTTTCAGTAGTGAAAAGATTTAGCCTTCTGTCTCTGTGGGATGTTGGGTTGAGACATGTTCTTCACCAACAAAAGTACAGGCAAGAAAAGCTTAAGACGCTAAAAATCAAATGAAACTATAGAACTATAGCTGACTTAATTGATCGTTCTACTCTAACTAGAGGTGCTGCATTGTCATCGCTTTCATTAAGTTATACATGCCTGTATTTTGCTCCTGTCAGTTCAGGTTCATATCTGTATGTTCTGCTCCATGGTAATGCTGCTGTGCTTTTTGACCAACTGTGTTGTGCACATCATATGCACAACACAATCTTTTCACTGCAGAGGCATCTGGGTAAGCAGGGGCTGTGCCTGAATTAAGCTTGTGGTAAGCCAAGTCCAGAGAATTAATTGCTTCATGAAGGGCCTCTTTGCTACTGAACTCCTGGGTTCCCTCTTGTTTAGCTGTTTTCTAGAGTAATCACGGACTCCTTATTTACTTTAAGGAACTACTATCTCCCTCTATGTTGCATGCAATGTAATGTGCTGTGGGTTTGTGTGAGAGACCATCTAGAACTTACCTCTTGAAGGGTAAATGTGTCTCTGGTCACTGCTTGAGGTAGCTCAATGCAATTTAAGTGGTGTCTTGTGCGGGCAGACAGACCTCAGGCTAGCTCCTTTTGCACCAGTTCTGGGTTCTCACTATTCCTTTTCTTTAGGAAAGATGCTTAAGTCTCTTCTGCTATCAAGTAACTGCTTTCTTCTAGGTCAAAACACCCACGACTGCTTGTAGGCCCCATGGCGGGGCTGTATCTGGCAGGGAGAAGAAACTCCTTAGAAAAGGCTAAATAAGGAAACTTGTCACTGTGCTGAGGTTTCTCCCAGTTCCTGTGTGGCTGTGGGCCATAGCCATGCCCTGGCTGTGGAGAGGTGCACACAGCCAAGCCTTCTGGGCAGAGGGGATGGGGATGTGTTGGATGGCTGTGCTCATCCCTGACCTGACACCCTGTGCAGAGTGCGAACTTCTTTACAGAAAGGGTTGTTAAGCACTGGAATAGGCTCTCCAGCGAGGTGCTTGAGTCACCTTCCCTGGATGTGTTTCAAAACCGTTTGGATATGGTGCTCAGGGTCATGATTTAGCAGAGGGTTGTTACAGTTAGGGTAGTATGGTCAGGTTGTGGTTGGACTCGATCTTTAAGGTCTTTTCCAACCTGAATGACTCTATGATTCTGTATGATATGAGTAGCTGCAGCTTGGTTGTGGGGGGGAACGTGGGAGGGTGTATGAGGTGCAGAGTGGGAAAGGAAGAAATTCTAAGGAGGTATGCAGACCAAGGAGGAGTGTGAGTGCAGAAAGGCTGGAAAAATTGTGCCAGCTGTCACAGAGCCAAAGTAGCAGTGACTGCCTGGCTCCTCCTTGGGAATGATGGAATGCAACGTCACAGCTAAGGAGCAGACTCCTCCAATTTCAGTTCTTGTCACAGGACTGCAACTCCAGAGTGTTCATCTCAGGTCCACACAGGTGTTCTGCTACTCTGACACACTAGCATGGCTGCTGTAATGCTGGATCTGTGAGTTGTTACGTCAGCATCCCCCTTACAGAGTGCTTAATGATGGCATTTGGTGCTTCTCTGAACTGTGCTGAATTCCATGATCATGTGTGGTAATGAGGGGAGAAACAGCAGGCTTCATAAAATTAACTTTTATAAAGCCAAGGTTACCTCACTGGGATTGTCTGGGGCTTTTCAATGGCTTGCAGCCTTCATTTAAACAAGTATTTTATTTCATTCCAGTCTCCTCAGACTTCAGATTAACAGTTTTGTTTTTCACAACAGGATCTCAATCTACTAAATGACAAAAGCCTTGTGGGTTCTTTTCCTGGCCAGGTTTAACTAAAAATACTAGCAGCTACATTCCTTAGTGTAGGTTTTTACATTTCGACTTGTTCATGGGGAAAACAGACTTAATAACAAACATGACTAGATCTTGGTACAACATAATCCAGTGTAATTTCTGCCTGCAGACATTGTGCTTTCACAGGGGTACAGTGGAGGAGCAACTTCAGCAAACATGGAGTCATTTGTTGCTGTGGCACAGGCTGTACTGAAGTTTAGTCAAACCTGATTCCCTGCTTCCAGAATTTTCTGGGCTCACTGGAGCAGTTAAATCCCTTTCACAATGATTAATGAAGCTCTGGTTATCTCCAGAGTTCTCTGAGTTTTGAGAAAGCATACCTATTGTAGGTGAAGTTAGATTTTGTTACATAACAGTACAGACTTGCATTAGAAAATTCAGTTTTGCAAATCTAGCTGTCATTGATCAGTTGTCTTCCTCTTTGTGCCCACAAATTCAGTGACATCTCTTATTTGGCCAGACATATCCACACAATTAGCTGGTAAGAGGTGTGACACAAGTACTGTCCTTTGCATCCCTCCTGCTCATAGCTTTGGCTGTGCTCAGTGTGCCACAAACCTGTTGCACAGCCCAGCTCTGCTGTATTACTCTTCACCTTCCCACACACAGAGTTTTCCAGGCAGGGATGTTATCTTATCATACCAGCTATCTGGAGAGACCTGTGGGCTCCTTTCTGAAGTGGATCATTGCTTGTATGAAGACCATCCCAAATATCCTTGCTGATGTTTCTGGAGAGATGATGGGTAGCAGAAACAGCTGCGGAAGCTTGCAGTGTGACCCAACCCACCTCATGGTGAAGCTGCCATCCATGCTGTGCACTTGACTAGGCACTGAAAGCCAAGATAAAGAGATTCGAGGCTTTTTTGGTGGCTGCGGTAGCAGAGCCTGTGTGGAACCTAGATGCACGGACTTGGTGGCAGCATCCTTTTGCTGCAGTTGTCCACTCTTGTGCTCAGAGTGCTTTAATGCTCATGTTTCAGATACGCAGTGTAATTCAGTTACGTGCTGAGACTGCTATGGCATGAAGACATAGGACCGGCTGAACATAACTGCATTGTGCTGTACCATCTTTTGCTTAAAGATGCCTGCTGAGGAACCGCACTTCCAGCTTGTCTACAGCTGCTGTAAATGTAATGAGGAAACTTCAGTATGATAACAAGTTCTTTATGCTAATAAAAGCCCTTTGTGTGCTTTTCTGATTTATGATGTGTGAAGGATTAAAAAAAAATCAGTTATCTTTAGGGCTACCTAAAGATTCTTAGCTCTCTTGTTGTCAGGACTTGAGCAGTTCAGGCCCTGTCTTAGGATTTCTGGAGACTTGTAATCAATTTCTAGTACTGAAAATAAATTCTTCTCTTGCTTCAGGTTTTAATCTAAATAAATTGAAGGTTTTGAGTTGTCACATGTATATAACCTTTTAAGCTACATAAAGCTATTTATTTATGTAAGGCATAAGAGCAACTGATCTCGCCTTCTGCTAAATGTACTCTTACTTTTCAAAAGGAGATGCTTTGTCCACTGAGAGCCATGGCTCAGCATGCTAATAAAATTCACTTTATGCCTTTAAAATGTTTATTCAGAGTGGCCTGGCTAGCTTACAGTAGCTGTGTGGGTGGACTGTCCTTGAATTTTGTAGACTTAATTTAGTACTACACAATACCTAGTTATGGAAAACAGCTATAAATTGTCTGTGCGCAGCCATGCATTATTGATAAAGGGTAGAATGAGCTCCACAATTCCTTTACTTGATGTTGTTAGTGCAACAGCTGGCTGATTTAAGATTTTTTTCTTCTCCACTGGCTGCAAAATGTCTCTGAATTTGCTCTTGAATCTTGATTTGTGTGGGTGGGAAGTTTGCTTTTTCTCCAGTGCAAGTAAATACAATAGAAGTGTATCCACAGAGAAGAAACAAGCTCAGTGCTTGTTTCCAGTGCTATGAAGACAGTAAGTCTGATTGTATGCAGAGGATAGAACTTAAAATTGTCACAGTACTCGGAAGCGCACAGGGTGTTACAGTAAATTTCAAAATAAATAAATCCTTTAATATACATTTGACACATGCTTGGAGAAAATGCATTACAATGAGCCAGGTGTGCTTTGTAATTCCAGTGTTCCTTCAGAGTTTGAGAAATACCAACAGTCTTAAACTTCTCAAGATATTTTTCCCTGTTGACATCTAAGATCAGTAGAGTGTCTTCAGAACTTGATTTACATGTAGAGCAGTGCTAAAAACTGAATGGTTCTTTCCCTGTAGTTGAACAAACATACAATGAGCTGCTCAACAGACTGGAAGTTAATAAATAAATGAAGTAGTGATAAAATAAATAAGAAACTTGCTGGCAAATCTATCGAAGTCTTTCTAGCAAATAACTCTGAAGCATCTTATGGTATAATTTCTGGAATGATAGCTTCTCACAGATTATTATTATTCCTGTATCACAGTAAGAATGTACAATTTGTGGCAAACAAATACTGACTTTGAGTAGTGACTTATTTTGCTCTTTTTGTCTGAGTACTTCAGTATTCTTCAGTAGAATCATATATATTCTTCAGTAGAAGTGTTCAAAACCCCTGTGAACAGATTTTTTTTTCCTTATGGAATGTTAAGATAGCAAAGCACAAATGTACATGATCTTTAGAAGCTATACTGATGTTTATAATGCTTTATTCTGTAGGGAACTGCTATGTATTACTTTAGCTTTCTCTATTTTTACAGCCTTGAAAGATGAAAAGTTTTAAATAATGAAGGAATTAGGCTGGTTGCATAGCTTCAAAAAGGAGGCGAGAAAAATTAACAGAGGGAAGGCCTGACATGAGTTTGAGAGTCC